GTCAAATTTGGGCTCAACCTTCCACTTGTGAATAATCTTCCTCACTGTAGAATGATGAATTTTAAATTATTTGGAAGTGGCCTTTTAAACCTTCCCAAATTGATGAGGAGCAACAATTGCTTTTCTAAGATCATTGCTCATTCTTTATCCTTTATTAGGCCAGGAAACTCTTACAGCTTCAGTTATTATAGATGTAGCCACATTTGCTAATGATCAATTGGTCAAGGGCACTTTATTAGCAGTACTTGGTTGCTACTTGGCCTCTTTATACTATGGAAGCAGTGAGATATTTCCAGATGCTCACCAACAAGTAACCAGCAGAACGGCTAGACTTCTGCAGTTCTGGTGCTCCATCACTGGAGGCTTTTCAGAAGAGACTGGAGAGCCACTTATCTGAAATGGTGTAGGGTTTCCTGCTTCAACAGGAGCTGGATTAGAAGATCTCCAAGATCCTTTCAAATTCTATTATTCTTTTCTTTTGAAATGACATTTTAATGTATGGATAAGTAAAACCATAGAAATTGTTCTGCCCCAGCGATGTCAGTTTGCCGAGGTGGGCAGGTTAACTCCACGCTTAGGACGTTCCTTTGATCAAGTTTATTATCAGGCATCCTTAATAGCAAATTTTACAGTTCAGTGTTAAGATACTTCTGACTTTCCATGATCTGTCCCATCATGTAGTGTAAAAGGTCTGTGGTCTTTCTCTCCTTTTGATGAGCGGAGAAGATCGGAGATGAAGAGGGGAGACGCGTTTTGCTCCATCCCAGTTAACAAAGGGCGATTCAAAGAATGACCGGTAATAAATCACTTTTCCCGGGCAGAATATCCGCTGCCCAATCAGGGAACACAGATGTGGTCACATGTTATGGAACTACATTTCCCACAAGGCATTTCTGCCTACATTTCTCATGAGGTAACTTCTTAAAGGAGACAGTTCTTAATTCCTACATTAGCTATATACTGTTGGGACAGCACAGAAATCAAAGAGGATGTACTTTCTTTTCCACTTGCCTGGATTTGTAAACAATCCTTTGCTCTGCAAAGAATTTGTGATTGACCCAGTCAACAAGTGAATTTCGTCATTGAATGGATATTCAAACTTGGATCTGGGTAGTCTTTCATGTCTCATCAATGACTAATGATTAATGTAAGAGCTTATTGGAGCATTGTGGCATGTTTACTTTTTCATTGCAATGTCAATGTTTTCCCCCCTCATCTTTTGCAACCCTTTTATTCACAATTAAAGATATATTTTTATTTTTATCTTATAGACAAAGGAGATAGCAATAAGAGCACTCTGGACAACTGATAACAAGCAACCTTGAATAGAAAAGCAACTTCATCCATAAATCAAAATATTTTCCATTTCCTTCAGAAAACCACTCCCTTAGCAGGTGAGAAAGAATTCAGAGAAAACGGAGAAGAGATTTCTAGTTGGGAAAAGTAGAGTGTGGAATTCAAGCATGCGTTACATGAAAAGTCAAGGCAATTATTTTTTCCGTTCAGTAAAAGAGGGAAATATCTGGACGTCAGTCTGGAAGAAAAGATAAATTGGAAAGTCACATAGAGCAGACAGTGTTGCATGCCTTGCTCTGGGAGGAAGAAAACAGCTTGAATCAAAACACCACTAAACAAGGGACCATCCATATTTTTGACCGCCTCAGAAATATTAGTTGTGGAAAAACTCCATGGAGGTTCCTGTTGTGGGAAATATACAACTTGCAAATCACAGCTGATCAATCCTGAGAGGATCCAGACTAGAAAGAAGCCGTATAAATGCTCTGAATGTGGCCAAACCATTGGTCAGAATAACTCCATTGTGGTCCATGGAAGAATACACACAGGAGAGAAAGCCTTTCAATGTACTGATTGTGGGAAAAGTTTCAGCAACAGTTCCCACCTCATTAGCCACAAGAGGATTCACACAGGAGAGAAACCCTTTGAATGTCCTGATTGTGGGAAAAGTTTCAGTCAGAATTCCAGTCTGGTGATACACCAGAGAATTCACACAGGAGAGAAAGCCTTTCAATGTACTGATTGTGGGAAAAGTTTCAGTCAGAATTCCAGTCTGGTGATACACCAGAGAATTCACACAGGAGAGAAAGCCTTTCAATGTACTGATTGTGGGAAAAGTTTCAGCAACAGTTCCCACCTTATTAGCCACAAGAGGATTCACACAGGAGAGAAACCCTTTGAATGTCCTTATTGTGGGAAAAGTTTCAGTCGGAAGTCCAATCTGGTGATACACCAGAGGACTCACACTGGAGAAAAACCCTTTGAATGTCCTGACTGCGGAAAAAGTTTCTGTCAAAGTTCCCACCTTATTAGCCACAAGAGGATTCACACAGGAGAGAAACCCTTTGAATGTCCTGATTGTGGGAAAAGTTTCAGTGAGATGTCCAATCTCATTAGCCACCAGACGGTTCACACAGGAGAGAAACCCTTTGAATGTTCTGATTGTGGAAAATGTTTCTCTCATAGTTCCCAGCTCGTGATACATCAGAGGACTCACACAGGAGAGAAACCTTTTCAATGTCTTGATTGTGGGAAAAGTTTCAGTAAGAATTCCCACCTCATTAGCCACCAGAGGATTCACACAGGAGAGAAACCCTTTGAATGTTCTGATTGTGGAAAACGTTTCTCTCATAGTTCCCAGCTTGTGATACACCAGAGGAGTCATAAAGGAGAGAAACCCTTTGAATGTCCTGATTGTGAGAAAAGTTTCAGTAAGAGTTCCCACCTTATTAGCCACAAGAGGATTCACACAGGAGAGAAACTTTTTCAATGTCCTGATTGTGGGAAAAGTTTCAGTGAGAATTCCCACCTCATTAGCCACAAGAGGATTCACACAGGAGAGAAACCCTTTGAATGTTCTCTTTGTGGAAAACGTTTCTCTCAGCGTTCCCAAGTCATGATACACCAGAGGACTCACACTGGAGAGAAACCCTTTAAATGTCCTTATTGTGGGAGATGTTTCAGTCACAATTCTAGCCTGGTGGTACACCAGAGGAGTCACACAGGAGAGAAACCCTTTGAGTGTCCCGATTGTGAGAAAAGTTTCAATCAGAATTCTAGTCTGGTTAAACACCGGAGGACTCACACAGGAGAGAAACTGTATGAGTGTCCAGACTGTGGGAAAGATTTCAGCTCTAGGTGTAACCTTATAAATCATATGCATATACACACAGGGGAGAAACCATTTAAGTGCCCCGAGTGTGGACGGTGGTTCAGGCAAAATTCCACCCTTATTGCACACAAGAAAATCCACTTGAGGACCAAAGCGATTAGTGTAGAAAAGACTTGAATTTCATTTCTAATGTCCATTGTAAGTCTAGCTGAGAAACTGACTACTGTGTTTTCCGAAAATAGGACATGTCTTGATACTAAGCCCAATTGGGCTTTTCAGGACATCGGCTAAAATACCCACCTAACCCTAACTCGAAAATAACCCCCCACAAATCTAAAATGACCCTGACATGTACCCGACCTTGTCCGGGGAAAGCTATAGTGGTTTCAATTGCCCCCGTGGTGGCCCTCTGAAGTTGGGTCAGGCCCAGCCGATTCACAATTTCTTCGGCAGCCCACCATCTGGCCTGGGCACATACCGGTCTTGTACTTCGGCAGTGGCTTCGGGCCCAAACCTAGCAGCTCTTGCCTCCTTGGCTATTTGGGAAGCTAGTCCCCTCCCCCACGGCTCTCCTGGCCAGGCAGAATTCCTGCTTGCTGGCGCCCTGTTTCGATTTGTGGAGTGGTGGTGGCAAAGGCATGCACAGGGTGGCTTCCTTGGAGAGCCACCTGTCACCCTCCCCTTTCCTGGCTGCTGGGGGACTTCACGCTGCAAGCATTTTCCACTGCCACCGGGCTCAGATGTCCAGGCAGCTCTCCAGCAGTGCCAGAACTCACCACTGAGGATGAAGCAGATGGTGGCCACCCGTGGCCAATCTCCGCACCTCCATCCTCCTGGCTTGGAGCAAGTCAGGCACCACCAACACACTCATACTGCCAGCAGCCACGGCAATCACCAGTCCCCACACTAGCACCCAGGTGAAGCTGCTTTTGGGGCACAGGAAGGTGCTTGGTTCCCTCCATCTCATCTTCTGCCAGGTAGCAGACATTTGCTGTTCCGACACAGAATGGGCGGGTTACAAGAACCTCCACCCTGCCCAAATTTCTCAAACTTGCAAGAAGGTTTTTTTTACAAAGTGTTTCCCTGGACACAACAATGGAGGTGCTGAGATTGGCTGCGAGCGGCCGCCATCTGCTTCATCATCAGTGCCGCATTCTGGTGCTGCTGCAGAGGCGCCTAAAGATCTGAGCCCTTCTCACCCGCCCCACCTGCAAAGAAAACAATTAGCTTCACTCCCCCGATAATAAGGGCAAGGCCATATTTCGGGGGGGGGGGTCAAAAGAAAATAAGATGCTGTCTTACTTTCAGGGAAACACAGTATTTAATTTGACTAAAAAGAATTTCCCTGATTTTTTTGTAGGTAAATATGTAATGATACTAAATGGGAAGGAGAAAAGAAGAAATTGGAACGTTATTAGTTTGATCATGGGGATTACCTATATTCATTTTTGCAGAAATTGTGCAATTATGTAAAAACATTTTTGGAGTGTTCTTTCCATTTATGGCATGGTAGATGATAGAAATATCACATACAGAGTCCTAGCCTATTTCTTCCTTTCCTGCCTCAAGATTTTCAGCCTCAGAATTCTCCATCCGGCATTTCTTGGGGATAGGAACGCTCAGACTATAGTTACAGATTGTGGCTCCTCATAGAAGGAGGAGAATGAGAGAAGAGAAGTAGAGTGGGTGAAAGTTTATCTTTTTAAAACAGTTCCAGGAATTCAGTGCACCAAGCATGTCTGTTCAGATTGTGTCAAGAATGTAGCACACAATTGAAGATACCGTATGAATAGCAAATATATTGGGGGAGTTTGGGACAGTGACAAATCCAGTGTAAAATTTCAGGTGTAAAAAGTGCCCTACAGGAGACCTTCATGGAGAAAAGCTGTAGGAATATTGAGTTGAGGAGAAAAGAGATTGTGGTTTTGAGCACAGGATCTCCAGCTTTATTCGTTGGTTTATTTCATCAACACTATTCAAAAAGACAAGTTACAATCTTTTTTAGTATGTACCACACTAAAATAATAAAAATATATTTAATCAATTTTCCTTGTTTTCTTTCCTTGGTGTCACATTTTAGTGCACCATCTTTATCATATCTCATAACAGTTACGGTAGGTGTCGGGAACCCTTTCAATGATCCCAAAGCCTCTGAATTTTTCACAGGGCTATATAACCATATCAAGCAAAATTAAATAAAGCCAACCTAAGAGTCAGAGGGGATGGTCTATAGGGCGAGGTCAAAAGACACAAGTCCTCACTCAGACGAACAGTCCATTTCCTCAGAATCAAAATTCGAAGCGGAAATTGAAAGGTGTAAGGGGCAAGAAAGCAGCAAATGCAAGAGAGAAAGCAGGGAGTGATGTTCAATGTAAGAGATTTACTCCCACAAATTTTTGAGTTATGAATGGAATGGGCAGAATCCATTACATTTGTAACCCTGTATCAAGCAACTTAGAGTAAGAGTAAAGAGTAATTTATTTATATGCCGCCCTTTTCCCTGGGGGGACTCAGGGCGGCTTACAACTTCTGCTGCTGATGGCCAGAAAGGCATTATCAAACTAATATCTTACATTTTTTTTCCACCTTCCCATCTAATACCACTATATATTTGCCTACAAAAAAAGTAGGCTAATTCTTTGTAGTCAAATTTGACAGTCAATATCTCAGCTGGACTTACAATGGGACTTTAGAAATGAAATTCAAGCCTTTTCTACACTCATCAATGAAATGGACTGTTCATCTCAGTCCCCACTGAAATGAACAGTCCATTTCCTCAGAATCAAAATTTGAAGCTGAAATTGAAAAGTAAAGTATGTGTTATTTGGAGGATACTGGATCTTGAAAGCTGCAGCCCTGAATTTGGGGCTGGAATAGCAGGAACAGCTGAATGGATAGATTTTGTGGGGAGGAAGAAGGTCCAGTTTGGTGGTCACCAGCCTAGAGCCTGAGAGATGCTCATTTCTTGTCCTGCTTTAGGCACAAAGCCATCTCAGAGACCTTGGCCTGTCCTGTCCTCTCAGGCCTTGGAAATGGGAAATCGGCTTTCAAAAAGCCTTGCCAAGGAAACCAGGGAAGTGGGCGGCAGGATAACTCCCCAAAATCAAGTTTGCAACTGAGTGAACCTTGAAGAGTGAAGCCTGACCTACTTAGCTTCTCAAAATTAGGGAGGTGCTGTGCCATAAATATGTATGAAGTTCTTGTTGTGAACAGCCGCTAAATGATTTTCAGCTTCATCCTATCTATAAATATAAGCGAAATACCACTCATGCATCAATACGAAATCTTCAGAACCGTAAAGCCTACAAATTTCAAATTTGCCACGTATGTTCCTCTTGTCTTCTAGGTGCTCACTAAGAAAAGATTTTTCAAAATGACCATCAGAGCATTAGTATTTCCTATATTATTATTAACATGCTATCATGCTAACTAGTTCTACTCCCCCTCCTAATCAGAAAAGAAATCTGTTCCAAATGCAAAACACAAACACAGAAGAGGAGATTCAGTTTTGGTTTTACTTTCACAGCAGGAAGCAGCTGTACTACAGAACAGTTGAGCTAACCAATAGCCAGGCTCCTTCCTGTCTCTTTGCTCACTAAGCAAATACTGTTTCACTTTCAAACTAGCCCTCTGATGCTAAGGAGTTCTACTTCCCCTCCCCACCTGAAAAGAAATCAATTCCAAACTCTGATGCTAAGAGGTTCTACTCCCCCTCCTCACCTCAAAAGAGGAGTTTCACTTTCACAGCAGCAAGCAGCTTTACTACAGAACAGTTGAGCTAA